TAGTAACAAAGCTGTATCACCATTTATATACCCACCATGGTTGTATCCATGACACGACCGTACGGTTTTGACGTCTGTGATTTCTATATGGGGGTACACTTTGTGAAAACCAAAAATGGAACATGAAATAATTGTGACACGCTTGGCGTGAATGGCGAACAGACCGACCAAATAGGCCTCGCTGGTGGATTCCTGTAGCGCCATTAACGGCCGAGCTCTGGAAGCGCAGATCGGTCTTGAAGTCCTGGGCGATTTCACGGACCAGAGACTTGAAAGGCAACTTGCAGTCAGCAGCTCGGTCGATTCCTTGTAACGACGGATCTCACGCAGAGCGACAGTTCCTGGCCGGTAGCGATGAGACTTCTTCACTCCTCGGGTGACCATCTGTTTGAGAGGAGCCTCTCCTCCGGTGAACTTACGAGCGATCTGCTTGATGCGGCCATTATACGATGTGAATACGTTGAACGCAATCTGTTGTATAAATATTTTAACTACCCAGCACAATCATGGGCATTGGCTCCAAGCAATATTTAATCAGATTCCAGACGAATCTGTATGATAGTTAATAGAACAGAAAATGAAAATATTAAAATGAGGTAAGGAAAATAATTAAAATATGGTTCAGATTAATACCTGGCTGAATAAAGATACACATTATCATTTATTATATAAGACCACGTAGTCCTACGTCACCATTGCGTACAACCTCATAGGGCTGTTCCTTGTAGTTTTTCCAGGGTGGCTTGTTGGGCCTGCCCCAACCCCCTGTCTCGCCGGGGGACCATCGTGCACAGCTCTGTTTAGAGTCCCACGCTGGCACTAGGACGGTGATCAGCCGCTCCTAACATGGAGAACAGACGCCGTTTTGAGCCGCACCTCCATAGTGAACAGACGCTCGGGTTTGGTGAAGCACTTCCTCTATCACCGTACTATGGTTACTGCGCCAGTGTTCGCGTCGCACCTCTTCACTTTGCTATTGCCGGACTGGCAACATTGCCCAGGCTACGCCACCCAGCTGTGTCCATGTTTCCGCTGGTAGTGTTTTGTTATCATATGACTCGAGGAGGCGTGAAGTAGAAACTTGTTAGGACCAGGGCTAGGTATTCCGCTCCTTCCAGGTTGTCAACTCACCATTTTGTAGCCCAGAGTTACCTCTATGGTTTTAACTTTGCGTAAATTCATCAATTGGCGAGTAATCATCGGCTTTCTCTCTCTCCTTTTTCCCTCTCCAGTTACCCTTCAATCCCTTTCTGAGCACTTGTATTGGCGAATCAAAGCAAAGCCAAAACTGGTCATGCGACACCTAGTTTTTACAAAAATGATGATGTACTAAAAAAAATGTCATGCAATTTGACAGATATCAAAACGTCATTACCATTTTCACCCACTCGCCACCTGTGAGTCAATCGTCACTATGATTCTTCAATTCTCACGAGACAGACTCTGCCTTTTTGCATCTCGAACCATAAGTATAGCTGTTCATCCAAGCATCGTCCGACCATTCGATCCCCCGCTGAGGGTTGGATGGTAGGACCAACCGGTGACAATTAACGATTTTAAATTGGCTCACTACTTGACTAGCCTATTGGTCCCAAGCAAATCGACTAACGTACCCCATTCTAGTATAAATTCCAGTACTACACTATGTTTGTTTATATAGATTCTCTATGAAAGTTTGACAGATAAAATTAGGAGCACACCGCAATCTTCCACAAGCAGGCACGGGTGTCCCACAAGTATCAGATACATTACATAGAGGATAGGAGGTGATAGAAAATGAAGTCGGAGAAGAGGAGTAATGGAACAATGAAAATACATTGTGGATTAGTAGGATAAGGTGATCCACAATTGATGTTAATGGTGCTAAATGTAAACATAAACAAAGCAGAAGTTCATATGTTAATTTTCTTCTTCTTCTTTCCTTTATTTAACGTCGGTCTCTGTTCCGCAATCTAGTGCCAATCACCGACGGACATCGATTGCCGTCCATTGACGGCAATCGAATGTGCAGGAAGGCAGCTTCTAAACCTGCGTAGCATATCACACCCACTCAAACACACATGGGCCGGGACCAACGGTTTTACTTCCCTTCCAAAGGAAGACGTGACCAGAGATTTTAATGCCTCAGAAAAATCCCACCGACCTCGACTGGGGATTGAACCCAGACCCATTGGGGTGAGAAGGCAGTCACGCTTACCACTACACCACCGGCGCCGGCTCATATGAGAATAAACTGCCAGTTCTACTGTGATCTGTCAAAGGTTCTTGGTAAACAAAAACGTCAGCTGATCGCAACTGTCTCGTGGACAGCCATATTAGTAGGTATTATTGAGTTCTCCAAGCAGGATCTCACGAACACTACACTAATAACATAATTTTACACACACTAGCGTATACTGTCATGTGCACGTTAAGAATCAATCTTCCATTTATGAGTAAAAGTGAACCCATTGTCAATAAAAGCGGCACCACTAATTAATGAGTAATTCATTATGCCAATTAAGTAGTATTTGTTAGCTACTGTTAGCTGAAACTCATTGTTGTTAAAATAATTTACTCATTAATGAGTAAAGCCACCTTTATGAAAAATGGGTTAACCTTTACTCACAAAAGGGTACTTGACTGTTACCGTGCAAGCGTAGGGTTTGTTTTCGTTTTGTTGTTTATTTTTACTTCTGAATGACAGTTCTTACAGCAAACAAAAAAATTCTCACAGCTAACAAAAAAATTCATCTCACTAACACACGCAAATTACACCAATACGAACCCGCCTGGAGAGGACTATAGTTGATGAGTACAAATGTTTCCTCAGCTGTTTCTTCTCCTGTTTGCATTGTTGTTCCAATGCCGCTACTTCTTCTGGATCACTGCATTCCTCTTCCTTTTTGGCTGTTTCGGAGGTCATGGTTGTGTTTAGTTTGGGCACATTTATTACTATTATTCTTATCCACCTAAAAAGATTAACGATGAGGATTTGGCTAGTCAATAATCTCATTCCGTGCCTTATGATTCTCGAACTCGATGATTCTATTGATTTCCAGGCTCATCAGTTTTATACCATCCAGGGGAACTTGGTATTGTACCCAATGCTTTCCTTATCTCCATTCATCTCAGCTACTCGCAAAGTATTGTGATATGGTGGGGGGAGTATTATATTTTTTTTCCCAAGTTTGGCAGATCGCTTTAGGGTTGTCAGCACCGAACCCTTTTTGCGCAAGGGCCTGACATGCCACCTTCTTTTCGTAGCCAGCATAAAAACGTGATCACATATCAATCTAAGCGGGCCCAGAGCGTGGACCCGCGTCTATGCTCACTACGGCAACTTGTTATTAGTAGAGATAGGTGTGCCACCTCCTTGTTTTTTGCGAGTACCGGTATTTCGATACTAAGAGGTTCAGTACCGGTAACGAGACCGGTAATACCGATAAATTACCGGTACCAAAGGGTTTTAAGAAAATAAATGAAAAAACCTGAATTTCTCAGAAAATTGTGAGAGCTCCTGCAATTTTCCTGAAGTTCATTCATCTATCCAGAAGTTCCTTAATTTTCCTAAAGTTTTCCAAACTTAAGGTCATGGAACATCTCTAAACTTCCCTGAACTTCTCTGGTCTTACCTGAAGTTCTCGTTCCTCCATGTCAATGTTCCGTAAATTATCAAGAAGTTCTTAGCAATTCCTTAACGTCCCAACAATTTTTCTAATATTGATGAAATTTCTTTCAAAACCACGCAATATTCCTGAAATTTTTGAAAGTATCTATAATTTTACGGAAATTCTTGAAACTTCCAATAATTAATTAAATAAACTACTTTTCAAATACTCTTAACACTCCTAAATCTGCTTAAAAATCTGAAAACTTTCCTTTAGTTCTCAGGATTTCTCTGAAGATCTGAGAACTTTGCTGAAGGTTTTCAAATTTTCCTTAGTTTTTAGTTCCGTTAATTAAACTGCACTGAGGTTCTCTGATCTTCTCTGATGTTATTCAAGCTAGTCGGAAGTTCATGCAGTTGTACACCTGAAGATTTTCCCTGAACATTTCTGGACTTCTGTTATGTTTCCAAAATATGTATGAAGATTTCTAAATTACGCAGGTGTTCTCTGGAGTTTCTCGGAATTTATAATTATAGAAATGATCCTTTACAGATCGTTAAACTTCCTCAAAAGTCTGGGATTTCCTAAAATTATTGCGTCTGCCCTTAAAATCTCTGAGCCAGTCTGAAGATCGCAAGAACTAGCTACGCCAGAGAGATCATTTCGCCGCCCAAAATCTTTCTTTAAAAAATGTGTGAGATTTACAATAGCAATAATAATAATAATAATTGTACACACTTTGGAGAACTGATATTCTTGAAAAGCTGCAAGAAACTTAAGAAACGAAACTAACTAAAATTTGTGTGGGAAAAAAAGAGAGTAAGCTTATACTTTTTATAACGGATTCGTATATTTTAGAACACCTTTTGTTCTAGCACTTTTTCGATTAACACATTTTTGCATCTCAAAAACAACGAACAGAAGGTTGTTCTGGGAAGGGAATGGTTATTTTTAGATATCTACGCAGATCGCATTATGTCCCAAACATATGCGAATTAGGGGAAATGGCTCTAATGTTGGCCTATGGATCTACGATTGGGCCCATCGCTAAAAATCTGCTATTTATCATTTTTATCTAGATGAACGCGTCATTGGGACGGTACTAATGGATATTTTTGGTAGCTATTGAAAATTTAGTCGATTGCCCTATCAGGGAATGTCTTTCATCAAAACCACTGTAACATTATCACAAACCATTTCATTTGGTGTGGAACGTAAAATTTATTTCGTCCAAAGGATAGCAAATCACAACATAAATAAATTACTAATTGCCCCTATGCGTGCAATTTAAGAACCTTAGAACCTAATTGGGAGACACGATGAACTAGAATCCGTTACTGGCTCGCTTGTGCGTGCGTTTTGTTTTTGTGATAGTATAAGTCCCCGAACCCACCCCAGGACAAAATGAACCTAGTACTGCAGCAAATGTACGGTGTTCACGTGGCATTGGTAGGGAAAATCGTCCGCATGGATCTTGATGTGCTCCGCCCAGTCGCCCTGTTCCAGGAAGCTCTCCGTACAAACCCGGCACCGATACTTGGTGAAGGTAAAGCAGGTCCTATTGCGGATGTGCCTAGCCAGTGACGGTGCATGCTGAAACTGTTCCATACAGTTCGGGCACTGATGGGGCCGGTTGTGATTGCGCGAGTGTTCCGTTAGGCCCAGGGCCGTTTTGAAAGACTTGGGACAGTAGCGGCAGCGATACTTTCCGCCGCCGGCAACGCTAATCGAAGCAATAATCACCGGGGTAGGCAGTTTCGGTCGGGGTCGTTTCACGCCAACCGCTAGGAAGACACCGGATTGTCGCTTCCGGCTCTCGGCACTCGGTGGTATCTTATGATTGATTGTGCTAATTTCATCAACACCGTCGCCACCAACACCAGCACCATTATTGATCGGCGGCTTCGATTCGACCAATGATGATGGTTCTATCAATAGAGCTAATTGGTTGGTTTCTGGTTGTTGTTGTTGTTGTTGTTCTAGGTCAGTCTTATCAGTTTCGATTGTCGCTTGGTTTGTTTCTTCTAATTGTCTAGATTTGATAAGTTCATCGACACGTTTGGCGCGAGCCCGGAAGCGATAGAACTCCACCAGAGATCGCTTGCAGTGCTGACAGACGGCACAGGCGGGTTCGTGTTCAGGGGAGAGCTGCAAGAATGAATGTTTAAGGTGGTTAATTGTTTATTTGGATTTTTTTTCATTAAGAGTCTATTGTGAGAGCTTTACGGAGCCGTGATTGTTTTCACTTCTTACAGAAGGGTTATAATGTTGCCTTTCGTTGTATGTGCATGTGTGTTACGAAATAAAGTAATTCATGCGGGGACGGCCCCGGCGTAGTAGTTAACATCCATACCTCTCACGCCAAGGTCACGACTTTAATGACAAGTCACGAATAACCCAAGAGTGTTAAAGTGACTATAATAAAAAACAAACAATTCATGTTTCTAATTGACTACTGGACAATGGTCCCAAAGTCGTATTTACGAAGACTAAAATGTTTGCCCTTAAACCATAACGAGTGTCCAGGACTACATTGTTCACATCATCAAGCGGTCACAATCCATCATTCTACACATTAAATTACGTTACTCACTATTGAAAATCAGACCCACGATGGATACATAAATGGTTTAACTTCTTTTCCATAAATGCAGTTTTGAGCATTTTCATCGGAACTTTTATTAATAAGAAGGGTCAGATCTTACCACAGTCTAGTTAGCCCAACAATTGAAATAGGCGGAACCTTTGCGTAAACAATGGCTTTGAGGGGAAGTTCACCGCTTCGAAAAAAATAATTACGTTTTGATTTTTCTAAAAATATTGAAAAAAAGTATCAAAAATCTATAAAAATTACATTTTTTCTAGTTTTTTAAAGAAAATTCACGTGCAAAAACATGTTTTATAAGTCATTATGGCATATAGTTGGACTCAAAAAACCACAAAACATCAACTTTTCGGTTTTTCTGAGAGTCCAATTTTTTTTCATGATGGGATAGAAAAATTTTTTTTGCATGTAATTTTTGACAAAAATCTAAGGAAGAAACTGATTTTCTTGGATTTTTGATAATTTTTCCCAATATTTTTAGAAAAATAAAAACGTACCGAAAATATTTTTTATTTTTGGGCCGGTGAGCTTCCTCTTAAACCGAAATTCCTCGAGAATCAAAGCATATCCAAGCAATCTAATCATCTCATATAGCAAACTTCCTTTATCCAATGGCATTGGTAGTTTGGGTGGGAGTGTTTTGATTCTCGAGAATTTCGTGTTTAAAGTAATTGTAGCTTCCAATGTTTTCTCTAATGTATCATCGAAAAAATGGAATTTTTAAAATGATATTAATTTTTATTCAAATCACTGGTAAATTCTATCAGAAAGTGATTTCCAGTTAAGTATGTTGGTCATGACCGATCAGAAAGTTATCAAGGCATTTCTCATGATGAAGTTTTCCAAGCAGCACCGTGCTTTTCCATAATTATTCATGAAATTAACGGTTTTGTTCGCAATTAGTATATTTTTCAGGGATGCCAATAAAAAAAACTGTTTTGGTCCTCAAATTGGCTAGAATCCACTTAAGTATAATGTTTTTAATATGAAATCGGGCTAAAATTTTTCGAGAAATTCAATTCCGTGCCCAGAATTTACATATAAATCGATTTAAAAAGTTGAGTATAAACATTTAAGTGAAAATAAGAGGTACGTTAAAAATGAATTACTGAATCGTAATGTACCCATTTGGTACGTCACTTTTCCGTAGAAATCTGGTCGATCGACTTGGTCATTGCTGAAATCGTATGTCTATCCAGCGGGACACGAGTTTTCCGGGAAGCTTTGAGGTACGTTCAAAATCCTTGAAGGTACGCTATGGTACGCTATTGGTACATTCCAAAATACGTATCAACTTTGAAATTCGTTAAGTTTGTCCCGCTGGATAGATTGACGTAGGCATCTGACCTACTTTGATAACATATTGAGAATCTCCAATCACAGTCCACAGTATGAAAACTTGTCTCCTTCACTGTAACATTTACACACAGCTCATGTGAAGAAGAGAGAAAGGTCAACGAGCCGCCACTGCAGCCGACAAAAGTGGCATCACCAATGACACCAACCAGCTGAAGGCGCACCAATACATGCATGTGAGTATTTACAAGCAAAGTGCTAACAGTCCATCTAATCTAGAACCTCTTTCTTTCTCTTTTCCTCTATCGTCTCTGGCCGCCCTTATCCAATGTTTTGCAATTAGACTTACCCGGACATCGGTACATTCGAAAATGAGTTCTATCAGCTGAACAGCTTGCGTAGCACTAGTTTCGTCGTCCGACGGATGAATGCATTCCCCAAACGACGACATTAGCACCAGATTGTCCCTGGCCAGGCAAAGCCGGCAGTACTCCGTTGGCGACTTCGCAGAAGGCCTACAAAATAAGGGACGATGAGAAGTGGGCAGGAAATGGAAAATCAATACTGCTCTTCGAAACCTTGGAGGATGGCATTGAGCGGAACTACTTACAATTGCAGGTTTTCGAGGGCAAGTACACCATTCAAATACATTTTCCTATAGGATTATAGAGGTCCGAAAAAAAAAGATGATTCAAACGTTTTGGGTCTGCAGATAAAATAAGGAATTACCACTTCCACTCAAGTTGAATTTCACAATTCAACTGAACTAGCGAGGGGAAGCCTCCTACTGATATTTTTTCTTTGTTGAGCTTCCCCACTGGTATTGGTGAGTAGGAGAAGCCGCTCGCTGCTGATGATGATGATGTTGATCCCACAATTGTGTTTGTTTTGTTTCGTTTCTGCTGCTTCTGCACGATTCTTGTTTGTATACAAGCAACGATACGTCCGTTGTCCCATACAATCTTTCCCAAAACGTCCCGCCCCAATACCTACCGCTTCCGCGGCAATCAGTGGCATTACCCATACTCTTGTGGTATGGTGCCAAAACAGCTGAGAACGGTTACATTTACATGCAAATCCATACAGTGAGCACATCTTTTTAAAATTTGAAAATTCCAGCTTCAGCAGGTTAATATCAGCGACGATGTTTTATAAGAGACGCGTGGAGAATCTGTTTGCACGGCCAACAAAGTTATTTTTTTTTGTCTGCAAGGTTTGGCAACCCGCAATTTTGTGTTTGCTTCGAGTGGCTTTTAATTTGAGCGAATTTTTCTTTTAATCATTTCGGTAGTATTGATAACGAAGTATTTGAATAATCAATTTTTGACAACACTGAGTGAAACCAAATATACTGCATTGGAGGGGATATTTTACAGTTGCGTTGTGTTGCGCAAAATTATGCAATCAGTGATTCATGCTTCCTACCCTGTATGAATGAAATCACGATTTGGCTTAACTGGTAGTTCGCCCACGCATGCTAACACTACCATCACTACCTGATAGTGGTGTTAGTATGCGTGGGTGACCTATCAGTTACGCTAAAGCGACGATCAAATGCATCGTTTACAAAAGCAGATACGTCCCTTTAAAAAAGTAACCGAGAAATCCCTTTTTTGAAGTCTTTCACCAAATTCACTATCTTGAGGAGCTGCTCATAAACTACGTAGAAAGTTTAGGGGGGTGCAGAGGGAGGGGGTCAAAAATCCCAAAAACTGTCTCGTAGTTAATGAACAGCCCCTTATACCGAAAACGCATTGATCAACGTTAAGGCTGGCGCATAATGCATAAGTTTCCGGGTTTTTTGACAGACTAACTGTCAAAAAACCTGAAAACTTATCTATTATTTACAGGGCCTGTGTATATGTTTTTCGTTGCACTGGAGCGCATATTTCGTGAGAATATAACGAGAATACAGCTGGTGAATAACATAAATATTCCAGCCCAGTTAGCTACACCGAAAATAGTTTTCATGTTGGAAACGCACATGATTTTCATCGAGGGAGGCGACACATTTAAATGTCAATTCTAGATGCTCAACAAATCTCACACTAGCGAATCAATCTTCGAAAAATTTTCTTTCATTTCTCCTATCTAATTGCATCGTACATCATCTTTTTACAAGAAATCTTCAGAATCGTCATCAATCTTCTTTCTATCTACTAAGCGTGTGCGCAGCTAATCACAGCAAATCAAAATCTTTCCTGCATTGGAGCTTAGATAATTAAAACAATTAAATTTTAATTATCTAAGATTGCAGATTTTCCTATGTTTCGAGGGGTGCATCGATTAGCTTGGGACCGAAGATAGTACCAGAGCTGAGCCAAAAACAATACGAAACTATCGATTTCGAATTGGCTCACTGCTTGACTAGCCTATTGGTCCCAAGCAAATCGATTAACGTATCCCACTCTAGTATAAATTCCAGTACTACACTATGTTTGTTTTGATTCGCTATGAAAGTTTGTAATGAGGGCTTCGTGGATTTTCCAATGTTTCGAGGGGTGCATCGATTAGCTTGGGACCGAAGATAGTACCAGAGCTGAGCCAAAAAGTTGAGCTCGTTTCTTCGGGACCTTCTGGTCTCAGAGTTACCTCTATGGTTAAACCATAGAGGTAACTCTAAGACCACTGGGTCCCGAAGAAAATCATTATTAGTTTTGGCTCACTCAGTACCAGAACAACGGTCGCAAGCAGTCCCAAGCTATTTCACTCACCCCTGCATGTTCTGCATGAATCCACACACCCCTGATGTTATCTGTCAAACTTTCATAGCGAATCAAAACAAACATAGTGTAGTAATAGAATTTCAACTAGAATAGGGTACGTTAATCGTTTGCTTGGGACCAATAGGCTACTAAAGTGGTGAGCCAATTTAAAATCGTTAGTTTCGTATTGATTGTTGGTTAAACTCGTTATAAAACATCTTTTCTAGCTTTTGTTTCCTGGCAGCAATTTTGAAGCTTTATCTTACAAACAATTGACAGATGCGCTCAAAACAAGGTTCGATAGAAAGGATTCCGATGTAATCCACACTATAGACTGTCTATAATCCACACCTACAAATTTTGGACCCGTAAACAAGCTAAAAATGAAAATTCAGAGGATTTTGTGCTTTCTATCAAGCAGTTTTTTTTTTACTTTAAATGATCTTTATTTCTAGTGTTTGTGTGGTTTTACATGTATGAATTAACAAGTGACACAGATGCGTCTTTTCAACTTTAGTTCATTTTAATTTTTTTAATTATTATTTAAAGTTTCTAGTCCTATCAGGCCTGTTTTTAAGAATGACCACCTTGGTGGGATTGGTTTGTTTTAAATTGGAAAAGGGAAACTACTTATAACTACTATTTACAACTACAACTAACCTACAACTACTATATGCACCTAACCTACTATATACAAATTGCTTATCAAAGCATGTTCTGATAAATTACATTTTTGTGCAAATTTAGTCTTAATTTCGTTAATTTTGGAATCTATTTTGGCAATGCCTGCCTCTTCATGTAAATTTGTTATTCTAGTGTCGAAAGGACGATCAAGAACCATCCTCAGCACTCTATTCTGAGCGACTTGGATCTTGTTCCTGTGAGTTTGAGCACTTGATTCCCACACCGGTGCAGCGTAGAAAATTGCAGGTGCTATGATTTGATTGTAGACAGCCAGTTTGTTAATCCTAGAGAGGCGGGATCTGCGAGAAATCAGCGGATACAAACACCTAACTAAGCTTGAACACTTAACTAACGTCTTTTCTATATGCGAGCGGAACAGGAGCTTCTCATCGAATACCATACCAAGGTACGTAACTTCAGCAGACCACTCAACCCTTGTGCCATCCATGACTACTGTGCAAGAAGGTGCCGGTATCAGTTTGGGTGATTGCCTATGCAGGAACATGATAGTTTGGGTTTTGGAGGCATTGATTTTGATTTTCTAAGTTTTTGCATAGTCAGCAAAGGTGTCAAGGCATCGTTGTAATTTGTTTGTAATTTCGGGAGGCATTCTGCCCTTGGCTGATATCGCGGTATCATCTGCGAACAGGAAGAACACGCAACCGTCTCCGAGGGGAGGAATGTCAGAAGTATACAAGCTGTAGAGCAAGGGGCCCAACAAACTGCCTTGTGGAATGCCTGCCGGGATGGAAAATTTGTCGGAGAGACAACCATTCAACGATACATTGAACGACCTTTGCTGAAGGTAGTTACGGGTAATTTTGACCAAATGCAACGGTAAATTGTAGTTACAAAGCTTGTATATAAGTCCGTCATGCCAGACATTGTCAAACGCCTTTTCGACGTCTAGCAAGGCCATGGCTGTGGACTTGGATACAGCCTTGTTACTTCGAATGTTGTTCATCACCCGTACTAGCTGATGGGTGGTGGAGTGCCCCTTCCTGAACCCAAACTGTTCCGGTAGGAGAATATTGTTTTCCTCCACAAACTTGAGCAATCTATTGAGAATGAGTTTCTCGAACAATTTGCTCAGCGCTGAGAGGAGGCTGATCGGTCTGTAGCTTGATGGCAATGCTGGATCTTTACCGGGTTTGCGGATCGGTATTATTTTTGCTATCTTCCAGATGCTTGGAAAGTAGTGCAGCTCCAAGCATCTGTTGAAGATGGCAGTTAAAACTGCATAGACTTTCATGCTAAGCCTTTTTATGATTAGGTTAAATACGCCGTCAAAACCGGGGGCCTCCATATTCTTTGAATATTTCAGCGCTGAGCAAATCTGTTCTACCGTAATTCTATCCTCCGGAGGCACGGCACAAGGGGAGTAATCTACATTTTGGACGCATTGCGTCACCTGGTTTTCGAGCGGACTTTGGATAGTTGAGCCAAGCAAATGCGATGCAGCAATATGATTGCCAATTGCATTTGCTTTCTCTTGTGGGGTTATGAGCCGATTGTCATCATTTCCTACTCTGAGAGGTGGAACGGGTTTGGGATGAGTTTTAAGCACCTTGGCTACCTTCCAGAATGGACGGGAGCGGTCATCCAGATTCTGGACAACACGCCCGAAACTTTCATTTCGGAGTGAGTCCATTCTGGAAGCAATCTGCCTGTTCAGATCGGCCATTTCACGTTTCCTCGCTAGATCTCCAGTCCTCTGAAACTGGGGCCTACGCACATTTCTCAAGAGAATCAGTAATTGGGTGTGGGAATCAATGGCAACAAACTTACCCCTCACAGGAACTTGTCGAACACACGTCTCGTCAGCCACGGATATGGCCTGGTGGAGCCCTTCCAGTGCCCGGTCGATGTCCTCTACGGTGTCAAGCGGCGGATTTTCATCGATGTTTATGTCGACCACATGCCCAAACTGCACCCAGTTGACATGATGGTAGTCTTTGCGCAGGCTTTGAGCAGGTGCCACGTGGAAGCCGACTTCAGCCACCACCGGTTGATGGTCGGAACTGAGATCGTTGATCGTCATCGGTTTGGATAGTCCAATGTTCGATAGAAAAAAGTCCAACGTGGAAGGGTTTCCCGCCGGAGAGATGAATGTCGGTTCATCAGGGAATTTCACTGTATACAGCCCATGCTGCGAGTGGTCGAAGAGCAGACGTCCGTTCTGATTCCGCTGATAGTTCCGCCATGCTTCGTGGCGGCCATTTAAATCGCCCCCAATGACGAATCGTGAGCTCGTGCGAGTGATGGTGGTCAGGCTAGTGGTCAGGTCATTTTTAAATTGGATGCCTAATCCATTACTGGCAGCACACTGACGAGGGCAGTATACGGCGATGAACCGGACGTTTCCGGTTGTTGATTCCACC